AGAGAGAGCAGAACGTTAGAGATTGAACTAACAGATTCTGCAGAGTGGGAGAATAGAGAAAGAGTCTCTAACTGCACCAGATTAAGTTGCTAGATTGGTTTCTAGTCACGTTTTCTTAATTCCAGTCTCTAAAAGGCCCTGAGCTCTTGCTAAATAGATCAACAAAGTCTTTAAGTTGGCATAATTACATTTTTAAAGATATGGCCGGCATACGACAGCTTCATTTCCCACTAAATCATTTAGCATTTTTTATTTAAACCTTATCATTATTTTAGTGTAAAGTGGCATTTTTACATGTATTTAATTAATCCAGCTTTTCCTCTTTACTGGCTATATTTATCCATGCCAGCAATGCCCGTGGTTGCTAAGAATTTAATAGCTTCATGAATAATAATCAGCTTTGTCTCCCACTTCTGCATGACCCATTTATGACAATTACTGCCAGCCGTCCTTTCAGTCCTCTGAATTCAGCCTGATTATCCACAGTTAATAATAAAAGACTAAAAATGGAACAGTTTTCGCTCATGACCATAAATTCACATATATCTGATATATTGCTAATAAAGCCATTAAAACTCATTAAACATTTGAATTGTTTCTTGGTTTATTTTAGGCATGAATTATGAATAAGATAAAATTGACTAAAGACCCACGGAGACAAAAGTTTGTGTACCTGAACGTCTTTGTCTTGGTGTGAAGAGCCTTTGGACTGTGGCGGTTTTTCTATTGGGACAGAAGCAGGTCAGAAGGAAGCTAACTTAATTAGCAGCAACACAAAAACTTGCATATTAATTATAAGACTTATTTGAAAGATATATAGAATATTATGTAAACAAAATTGACCATCCCTGTTTTTTCAGGTTCATTGTAAAATACCTTTAGAAAAGGAATATAAAAAAAAACTAGGGTTAGAGTACGTATTTCAATTCATTTAAGTTTATTTATTTGCTACCATTTCACATCACATTTTATTTCAAGGTACTTTAGAGAGAAATTCCGTCAGATCAGTTCAAAGCTTTTTTATTTATGGAAGCCCAGCTGATTGCTTTGCGTCATTGTCTTTCAATAGCAGCATAACTAAGCAGAATGATGAAAAAGAGGTCCCTATGTCCTCCAGCAGTCTAAGCCTATAGCAGCATAACTATAGAGATAGCTCAGGA